ACACACACACACACACACACACACACACACACACACACACACACACAGAGGATGATGAGCCACGTCCCTCCTCTTCCTCACCTCATGATGAAGTCGTGTCCATCGATGGTGGCTCCATATCCGGCCTCGCGCAGGTTTCCAGAGTTTCCCACCACGGCGCACCGCAGGCAGCGTCCTGGATCCCAGGAACCATACGGGGACCGTCCAGGGATCACCTGAGACGAGATCAGGATGAGATCAGGTGGAGCGGACTGGGGTCTTCACAGGAGGAAGAGGAGGAAGAGGAAGAACCTGCAGCTCAGAGCTGACTACTGTAACAGCAGAAAGCTCGGAGTGATCTGGGTTCAGTACCTGGAAAAGTCTGAGCAGAACCTGCTGGATGTTGTGAGGTTTGAACTGCGGCTGCAGCATCTGCAGGAAAACAAAATAAATAAATAAAGGGAGTAATGAGGAGCCGCCGTCAATGCAGGAGGCTTCAAATTTAAACTGAACACAAAAAAACAACCAAAACCAAACTTTACTTGAGTTTAAATGGCAAATTGACTCTTAATTTTTTTTATATATATTGTGTAATATCTGTAAAAATATGAGCTATTTTTAATTTAAACATAAAAAAAAACTTGTTTTCATATCCGATATATTTCCATAACATAATTTCCTTTGATTTTAACTTTAATATTTTAATTTCATCCTCCCCAGACCTGATTTGATGTTCCATTAGCTAGACTTGACCCGACCTGACCAACAGGAGCTGGTTCTGTTCTGATGTGAAGCATCGGTGAGTGGTGACAAGTTCTGGGCTCTGATGAAGACCAGGTCCTGGTTGATCTTCTGGACTGAAGGGTTTCTCTCGGGGAGAAGAAGGAGAAATGAACCGGACGGTATTTCAGTTTACAGACGTTCGGCTCTTTGTTCCTCTTCGGTTCGACTCTGGGTTCTTCGTGTCTTTGGTTCTAGGTGAGATCATGGTTCTTCTTGTTCCGTCTCCGGCCACGAGCTTCACTTTCATCTGGATTTATGGATCAGAACAAGAACTAATCTCTGCTAACAAAGTTCTGGTAAAAACCACATGAACGTTGTGGAAATGAAGGCAAGTTATTTTTATTTGAAGTAGTCCTAAATTATCGTTGAAATTCTTCAACAATTGGATCAGAGAAGCGTTACGGTGCTGATCCAGTCTCAGTGCTGGTCTTGTCCCAGACGTTGACTGGATCATCTGAAAGAACCTGCGATCTAATCAAATACTAAACCAGAAGCTGTTGGACCCAGTTCTTCACATTTGACTCCAACTACAAGTCATGCAAACACAACCACAGAGACGATGTCCTTGGGAAGACTTCCTGTCCGTCTCCAACGTCCTCCAGAACTGTCCCAGATTACGGAGGACTGAGCCCAGGAATGCAGACTCAAACTCAAATTGAACATTTATTTAATGGATGAGACTAAAAGGCCAACGAGGCACAGCGACGCTCGACTGAGGAAGGAATGAAAACTGATTCTTTGGACTGATGGACGGAGTGGAAACACCTGGCATGACAGGTGAGAGTGGGCGGGGCCAAAGGAGCAGAACTGCAGGCAAGGGAAGACAAATATCACAACAGAATCAACGCCGAGCCGACCCAGTTTGCTCCAGTTGTGCAGTAAAGCCACGTCTGGCAGCAGGACGAGCAGCTTGTAGAGCTAAGACGGGATTGGCTCAGCTGTAAGTGGGGATGAGGAGGTGATCAGGATGTTTCAAAGTCCCATCTTTCACGTCGCTTCCCGCCCACCCATGGGCCACGCAGGTTCTGGTGAAACTACAGCATCTACAGTCTAGCCAAGAAGCAATAGAAGAAACTTTTAGAAAGTATTGTGAAAATCTATATAAACAACCTCCCTCTTCAAGCAGTATTGGAAAAAAACAACATTTCTTAATTCTTTGGATTTACCTACAATTGGAATTGAGCAAAACAGGAGACTCACAGCACCTACAGTATAACACATGATGATCTAGAGCCATTTCAAGACTTGGGACTAAAAAATCCCCTGGAAGCGACGGGTTTCCAGCAGAGTGGTACAGGATCTTTAAAGACCTGATACCCATACTATTACCATCATTCAAATATACACTAGAAGTGGGCC